TGAGGGGCCTCGAGGTCTTGAATACATAGCTCGATACATAAGCGAGTCAGTGGAAGAAACAATATCTGAGTATAGACATAAGGTTAGACAAGACTGCCTTAAGAAGGCAAGCACAAACATAAATGATCGAAGAGGCAAGGCCTCCTGTCTGGGACCTCCTAACTACTCCTGGTCTTCGGCGTCCTCCATGTAGTAGTAGGTATCCTCTTGGTAGTAGTAGTAGTCCATTGGGGTGGCATCTGACTCCTGGGATCCACCATCTGGTTGCAACAACCGGAAAGAAGAAAGAAGGGAAAAAAGGGGTAGCAAAGAACTGTGAGTACTCATCCAAAGTACTCGCAAGCATCAGATCTATACTAAGTATGCATTGGTATCAAATGGAAGGGTTGTATCTATGTACTGAACTGCAGAATGCCAGAATAGAGGGAAAGCCTAGCCTATCAAAGACTAGCATCTTCAAGCAGCTCCCAACATCTTGCAGCATTCAGAAGAGTATAGAATAGCAGTTTATATTTAACAAACATGTTGTAGAAACAATGCCTAGAGATCCTTCCTCGACTCCCTGTGACAAAGCAATCTCGGAGCCACAAATCCATCACATATCTCAAGTAACTAGTTCTAGTTGTAATAGATCAGGATAGAAGTCTGAATGTCCATTACTATGGACTCGGTATTCGAATATATTACTTCCCTGTAGGGGTGCACCATGTTACCCAACACGCTTGATTACTCTGGCCGGACACACTTTCTTGGGTCAATGCCTGGCCTCAGAAGATCAACACGTAGCAGCCCTACCTAAGATCAGCAGAGCGGTCCCCACCGGTCTACATCCTAAGCACTCCAGGGTCTTGGGCCCATCGCCCGGTGCACTCTGGGTCGTTGTGTGCAGGGTGGATACCAGCACTGCCTCGGATGGCCAACACGATCCGACCGCGCCATAATGCTAAACTGGATGTCTGACAAAGCTTCGGCTGATACTATGACACTGAGGCCCATAACTATTCTCACATGGTGGTTAGTGCATAAAGGCCAAAGGCCAACTCAGAACAAATACCCAAACCTATTAGTGCATTGGGGGCTTGCGGAGACGAGCAGAGACTCACGATAATGTGACCTTGTCGCCCTGTCTCATGGACTTACGACAAGGTCCCAGAATGACCGGCCATGACTCATAGAAAACTCGCGGGTGCTCTACGGGCCTGCCCGACTTTCACGTCAACTCGCAGGTACCCCACAAGGCTGACCCGACTTCAATAATGGTCTCAAGTAAAGTCCGGGTAACCGTGTGTCCAAGACATCAGGGGTGAAAACCCAAGGAATCACCCTCGGCGGAATCCACTCGATGTAATCATCAACGTGAATATGGGAGGAATCACCCTCGAGGTCCACACTTGATAGGTTGCACGACAGAGTCATATCAGGAGTGGTCAAGAAGGAATCACCCTCGATGACCACGACCGAATAGATACACTAGAGAGTTATCATAAGGAGTGCATTATGAGGTATCACTCTCGGCATTCGATAGTAGCTCTGCAGAGTCGAGCAACATAAGGGAGTGATGTGATGTGAGGTGTCGGGCTCTGGTCGTCGATCACGTTGATAGAGGCATCAATGATGAAGCAGGGGAAACAAGGACAAGGTGGGGGTCACTGATGGATCACTAACCAACCTATACTAAGCAGTTTTGGATAAGCAGGTAAGGTACAATGAGCAGATTACAAAAGCAGGCTATGCATCAGAATAGGATCAAACAATAACAGTAGCAAAATCTAATGCAAGCATGAGAGAATGGAATGGGCGATATCGGGATGATCAATGGGGGCTTGCCTGGAAGATCTGCTGAAAGGGAAGAAGGATCGTCGTTGACGTAGTCGATCACAGGGGCAACATCAGTCTCGGGGTCTACCGGAGAGAAGAGGGGGAAGAAACAAAAAATACAAAGCAAAGAAGTGCAATACTATGCATGACATGACGAAACACGGTGCTAGATGTGACCTAACGTGGTACTACCCGATACCGGCGAAGGGGGAAAACACCCGGGAAAGTTTTCCCAGTGTTAGGCAATTTTGGACAGGTGAAACAGAGGGGGATGGTTCCATGCTCGCGATGCTAGGGGCACATGACAGATAAATGGAGTGCATATTCAGATTCTTCATATTTTTCTGAGCAACTTTCATGTATAAAACATTTCCTAAATCCTAAAAAGCGGCCGCGCACCAACTAACTGGACCGGGCGGCCGATTCCTGGCCGCACGATCACGCCAGCGATCATGCCCGGATCCGCCAGGTGCCACCTGGTCTAGATCGGTGTCGCGCCGCGGTCGTGGGCGGTGTGTCCTTATCCCGCACGCGGCCAGGCCCACTTGTAAGCGTTAGAGGAGGGAGTAGTGGGAGTCATGGGCGGCGGTTTCGAAATCAGCGCCTGAAATCCCTCGCCCGTAGTGTGCTCTCTCCCCCATTCCATCTTCGTCTTCCTCCTCGCCATCCTCTCCACCGAACGGGCGTGATACGGGGGG